CAAAGCCCCAGAGATAAATCTAAGCCACGAAGAAATAGCAAAACTCTCAGACGCACAGTTTAAAACACTGGTCATCAGGATCCTCACAGATCTGGTTGATTATAGCCACAAATTAGAGAAACATATGAAGGCTAAACTAAGGGAAATTAATGGAATTCCACAGGAAACCCATAGCGATGAAAAGGAAACTGGGACTCAAATCAATGGAGTGGACCAGAAGAAAGCAAATAATGGCCAAACAGAAAAGAGTCAAGGAGCAAGAATTCAAAGAAATGAGGAGAGTCTTAGGAACCTCCAGGACATCTTTAAACGCTCCAATATCCGAATTGTAGGGGTACCAGAAGGGGGAAAGGCACAACCACCAGTGGAAAACTTATTTGAACAAATAATAAAAGAAAATTTCCCCAATCTGGCAAAGGAAATAGACTCCCAAGAAATCCAAGAAGCTCAGAGAGTACCAAAAAAGTTGGACTCAAGAAGAAACACACCAAGGCACATCATAATTACATTAGCCAAAATTAAAATGAAGGAGAGAATCCTAGAAGCAGCAAGAGCTAAGGGGACAATCACCTACAAAGGAGCCCCCATCAGACTGTCAGCAGATTTCTCAAAAGAGACCTTAGAGGCAAGAAGGGGCTGGAAAGGGGTATTCCAAGTCATGAAATCCAAAGACCTACATCCAAGACTGATCTATCCAGCAAAACTTTCATTTATAATGGAAGGACAAATAAGGTGCTTCTCAGATAAGATCAAATTCAAGGAGTTCATCATCACCAAGCCCTTATTATATGAAATGTTAAAGGGACTTATCTAAGAAAAAGAAGTTAAAGAAACATGAACACTGAAAGAACAACAAGCTCACAGTTATTAACAGCCACACCTAAAACGAAAGCAAACTAAAAGGACAGCTAGATCAGGAGTGGAAACATAGAAAAGAAGATCTCAAGGAGGGTTAGCAACAGGGGAGTGGGAGGAGGAGATGGGGGGAGAAGGTACAGGAAATAAGTAGCATAGACAGTAGATAGAAAATAGATGGGGGGGGCAAGAATAGCATGGGAAATATAGAACCTAAAGGACTTGAGACACATGGACATAAACTAAAGGGGGGTAATGGTGGGGAGGGGGCAGGGTGGAGGGGAATGAAGGGGGGAATAGAACAACTGTAACAGCATAATCAATTTAAAAAAATAAATTAAAAAAAATTCATAGATTAATTTAATTAGAAGAGTATTGATATCTTTTCAGAGTAATTTGCTCCACCCATATATATGTTCTCTATTTAGTCAAGTCTTTCTGAATGTCATTTAGGAAAGTTTTAAAATATTCTTTGTGTAGGTTTTATATAATGTTTACAAAGTTAAGTCCTTAATAATTTCAATTTGCTTCATATGGACTTTTCTTTTGTTAATAAAAATTTCCAGCCAGTTACTAATGGTTTAGGGAGAGGTTTGAATTTTGTAAGTTAACCTGTATTTGGAAACTTTGCTAAACTCTATTAATTCAGAGTTCTTCTGTTGATCGAATAGTTTTCCATGTGAATGAACATCTCTGTCTTGCACATAATGACATTTTTTGCTCCTTTCCAATTTTTATACCTTTTTAAAATATAAAATATCAACAACAAGTTATATTTGTCTTATTTCTGAACTCACAGACCATGTCTAAAATACTTCTCAGTATAGTATTTGGCTAATTATGCACATTATCAAGTTTAGAAACTATTTTATTATTTATATTTCCTATTGGTTTATCATATTTAGGTTTTTGAACTTAAATAATTTTTGTACTTATTGAGATATATGAATTTTCTATAGCGATCCACTAATAAGATAAATTAGATTGGCAGATTTTCTAATGTCAACCATTCCAGAAAACTTATTTATAAGTTAAACAGAAATATAATTATTTTTTAAATTATTTTTCCTGGCTTGAAATAAAGATTTTCAATAAAGTTTTTGAAATTAACACTAGCCACAAAGAAAGAGTTTACTCATTTAATATTCCTCCTTTTAGAAACATGTATAAGATAGAGATTTCTATTCCTTAACAGCCATCTGGGTCTATGGGTTTTTTGGCAAGGAACTCTTTAAAATGTAAATTAGTTGCCTTCAAATTTACCGACTTTCCAACTGAAAATTTTTTATGCTGATTTTTATAATTTTATTTTTAATTAAAATTTTATTATTTTATTATGGTAAACATTTTACATGAGATCTACCCTCTTAATAGACTTTTGGGCATAAAATATAGTGTTATAGATTATAAATACAATATTGCACAGCAGATCTAGAAGGTACTCATGCTGCCTAACTTATGCTTATTTATCAATAACTCCTCATTCCTCTCTCCCCAGCTTCTGGCAACAACCATTGAACTGCTTGGTTGTATGAATTTTAGATACCTTACATAAGTGGAATCATGCATCATTTTACTTTCTGTGGCTAGTTCATTTCACTTAGCGTGATGCCCTTGAAGTTCATCCAAGCTGTCACATTTTGCAGTTATCTTCTTTTCAAGGCTGAGTAGTGTTCTAGTGTATGCATATACTGCATTTTTTTAATCCATTTTGCAGATGGATGGTTACTTTGGCTATTGTGCATAGTTCTGCAATAAACATGGGAGTGCTACTATTTCTTTGAGGTCCTGATTTCAATTCTTTTGACTAAACACCCAAAAGTCAGATTAGATCCTATATAATTCTAAATTTAATTTTTTGAGAAATTTTCATACCATTTCCCAAAGTTTCTGTACCATTTTGCATTCCCACAAATAATGAGCAAGGATTCCAATTTCTTCACATCCTCACAAACACTTGTCTTTTGTGTGTGTATGTGTGTGTGTGTTTATAATAGACGTTCTGTCATGTGTCAGGTGATATTTTATTGCAATATTGATTTAAACTCCCCTAATAGTTAGTAAAATTGAGTTCCTTTATACACCTGTTCAAATCCTTATCCTATTTTTTAGTTCCTAGCTTTCTTTTTTGGCGATTTAGTGTAGGAATTCTTTATATATTTTGAAGATAAATAAAATTGACAAACCATTAGCTAGAGTAGGGAAAAAAAGAGAAGACCCAAATAAACGAAAGAAAAATGAAAGAAAAGACATTAGGACTGATAGTATGGAAGTAGAAACAATCATGAGAGACTACTATGACAATTATATGCCAACAAACTGGACACCCTAGAAGAAATGGATAAATTCCTAGAAACATAGAACCTACTAACACTAAATCATGAAAAAGTAGAAAGTCTGGGTATCTATCCATTGAAACCCAAAACACCAATTCAAAAGAAAATTTGCATCCCTATGTTCATTGCAACATTATTTACAATCGCCAACATATGGGAGCAGCCCAAATGACCATCAATAGTCAAGTGGGTAAAAACATGGTGCTACATGTATACATATTACTTGACTAGGAGAAGAATGAAGTCTCACCATTTGTGATAGTGTGGTTGGACCTACTAGGTTTTATGCTAAGTGAAGTAAGTCAGACAACAAAAGACAAATGCCATATGATTTCACTTATATCTGGAATTTAAAGAACAAAATAAATGAACAAACCAGATAGAAACAGACTCATAGATCCATAGAACAGTTTGATGGTTGCCAGAATGGAGGGGGTTGAGAGACTGGGTGAAAGAGGTGAAGGGATTAAGAAGTACAAATTGCCAGTTACAAAATAGTCACAGGAATGTAAAATACAGCATAAGGAACATAGACAATAATATCATAACAACTATGTATGGTGCCAGGGGGGTAATAGATATATAGAGGGGATCATTTCATAAGGTTTATAAATGTATAACTGCTATGCTGTACACCTGAAACTAATATGACATTCAAAGTCAACTGTCACTGAAAATGAAAAAAAAAAAAAGAAAATATACCCATGTAGCCATATTTATAAAAGACAAAGTGGAATTCAATATTTTTCCCCCCAACACTTAAAAAAATTATTCATGGTCTCCTTGATCAAAAATTAACTCATGGTCTCCTTGAGTTAATTTGAACTGCCTCGTGTACAGAACTGCCTTGCAACCCTCAATGTCACTTTGGTTCTTTTTCTTTTTTGTCAAATCTCCCTTTTCATTCTTGAAGCTTTTAGATTTTTCTTTTTGATTATCTTAATTCAATCTTTTAGATTTTATTATGTCTGTAAGTTGGCTTTCTGTTAAGTATCCTGTTTGACACTCCATGAGTCTTTTACTCCTTTTAATATGTATATTTAATGTTTCTGATTTTCTGAAAATATTTAGTCATGGTCTTATTATTTACATCCTCCAGATTCACTGCCCAATGGGTCTTAAGTAAAAGCTCTTTCCCAGCACCTTGTCAGAGGATGGTCATAGGAAAACATAAAAAACTTTAGATGAACATTTTATTGATCTGCTCTTTTTTTTCTCTTTTTCTTTTCCTTTTCTTTTTTTAAGAGCCAAGAACTTTGGGACTTGTTAAAAATAAAAAGAATCCTCATCATTGATGCAAATGGAAGGAAATTCCTCACAGTAAAGAACGAAGAAAATCACGGAGAAATGAAAGGAGGGCTTATTACAGGATTTATTGCTTGAATATATACTTTGATCCAGGGTAAAAATAAATGTACATTTTTTGAAAAAATGTTTACTGGTTAAAATTTCTTCAAAACATTTTTCATTTTTATAGGCAAATTTGGAGAGGTCGAGTAATATTTTTCCAAAATCTTGATTTCCTGCAGGAGTGAACACTGCAAACTGCCATTCCCCCAAATGCTAAGGCAGTTAATTCATGTCTCTCCCCTTCCTCCATGTTCTTTCTCTCTTTTAAAAATTAAAATGGACCAAATTGCGTTCTTTTAACACTAAAATTGCAAATGTTATGAAGATGAGAAAGGGTGATTGATAGAGGCTTGGCCAGCTCCACTGAACCCCCTGCCCCTGTCTCCTCTGCGCGTTTCTGTGAAGCCCGAGGTGGGGGCGGGGAGAGGAGTGAGGCGGGGGCAGGGAAGAAGAGGTGGGCGTCCATCCGCGCACGCAGTGCTGGAGCCGCAGGCGGTCCCGCGCTACACTGCAGACCTCGAGGTGCGCGGCCCGGGCCGGCGTGAGATCCTCTGGACTTCCCAGCTGAAGCTGGCTACCCTGCTCGGCCAGGAGCGAGGATGGAAAGGCGGGTGAGCGAGGCTGAGTGAGGGAAGAAGGGCGCAGGGTGGGCGATGTCGTACGGGTGGGCGATGTCGTACGGGTGGGCGATGTCGTACCGGTGGCCTCGGGTGGCGGCGGGCTGAGTGCGCCTGGCTGATTCTGGGAAGCTGGGTTTTGTACCAGCGATTTCCTCAGCGCTTAGCCTTGCCGAAAAACTAATTTTGCTTTCCCCAAGTGGCCTCCCGTGCTCCTGACATTCTGGTTCTCTGTTCAATGCCTTGAAAAAAAGGATGCCGCCAGCCGGGGTCTTCAAAGGTCCTTCTCTCCATCCAGATCATTGTTGTCCGGGGAGTGGAACTGGACCGGGCGGCGCGGGCCTCTGGGCAGGCTGCCGCAAGGAGGCTCACTCGCCCCGGCTGGGAGGCTGACTCGCTCTCGATGAAGGCTAGGAGGAAGCAGGTTCTGTTTTCAACCTTCCCAATTCGGACATAGCTGGTGCCTTTGGCTCCGCGCTGACACAGCTGGGTGGGGCTGCAGAATTCAGGGCTGGAGGAGAGACGCCGTTCCACCTGGACCCTCGGGCCTCTTTCTCCACCCTCTGGGCCTGTGCTTGGGAAACAGTAAAGGATCACATAAGTCAGGTTAAAACCCTGACATCTAGGTATCTAGGAGAGACAGACATCTTGTGTAGTCAGGATCTGTTTCCATGACATGAAATGAAGGGAAAGATTTTCATTTACATTGGCATAATTGGTTAAACATAAAATAACAATTAAGAAAAATAAAATCCTATTGCAAGAAATGCCTCCAGATAATTTTTTTAGTGTATAGTTTATTGGCAAGACCACACAGACAGCTATTTCGAATGTCTTTCTTAACAAAGGAGAATGGTGGCTGTTGAGCTCATGTTTACTGCGTGCTGGACGCTCTTAATCTTAACAACTATCCTTCAAAGGAAGAATTATTACCTGATTTTACAAGTAAAGAAACAAGCAGAGAGGTTGATTTTTCCAAGTCCATGTGACTATTTGGCGTGGGATCAGAATTTGGACTAAGAATTTTCAGGAGAAAAGGTATGAACAGAGGTGATGGTAGCTGGCAAGCGTGCAGCTGTCAGGGAAAGCCTAGGCGTCTGTGAACCTGGCCCTCTTGGCAAGAGGTAGAAGTGCACTTTCTTCATGTCCGTTGTTGTCTATATGATTTCAACAATGAATTCAGCTACCTAACTAACACGCATTAGCATTTATTGTGTCGTAAGCACCATGTTAAGTACCTTAAATGCTTAATTCTTACGGTAACCCAGTGAGATAACATCATTTATTTTTTACCCTCCTCAATATTAGCTACTGTATTTTTTCAGTTACAGTTGATAGTCAATAATATTTTATGTTAGTTCCATGTGTACAGTTAGACATTTATGTACCTTATGAAGTGATCCTTTTGATAAGTCTAGTACCCATCTGGCACCCTACATAGTTATTACAATAATATTGACTGTATTCACTATGCTGTCCTTTACATCCCCATTACTCTTTTGTAACTGCTAATTTGTACTTCAAATTCCTTCACCTTTTTTTACCCAGTCCCTTAACCTCCTCCCAACTGGCAACCATCAGTCTTGTTCTGTGTGTATATCAGTCTGTTTCTATTTTTTTGTTCATTTGTATGTATGTATGTATGTATGTATGTATTGAGAAAGGAGAGAGGGAGAGAAACATCTGTGTGTGGTTGCCTCTCGCACACCCCCTACTGGGGACCTGGCCAGCAACTCAAGCATGGGAATTCCTGATGGGGAACTGAACTGGTGACCCTTTGTTTTGCAGGCTGGCATTCAATCCACTAAGCCACACCAGCAGGGGCTATTTTGTTCTTTAGATTCCACATACAAGTGAAATTATATGGTATTTGTCTTTCTTGGTCTGACTTCACTTAGCATAATACCTACTAGGTCCATCTATGCTATCATGAATGGTTAAGATTTCATTCTTTTCCTGGTTGAGTAATATGTATATATATACAGCACCATGTTTTTATCCACTTGACTATTGATGGACACTTGGGTTGCTTTCATATTTTGACTATTGTAAACAATGCTATAATGAACATAAGGGTGTGTGTATTCTTTCAAATTAGTATTTTGGGATATATATATATAAAATCCAAGTGTGTGTATATATATAGAAGTGAATATACAGAAGTGTAGTTGCTGGGTCATAAGGCTGTTCTGTTTTTAATTTTTTAACGGAAACTCCACACTGTTTTCCATAGTGTCTTCACCAATCTGCATTTCCACCAACAGTGCCTGAAGTTTCCCTTTCTTCCACATCTATACCAAACACTTGTTTGTAGATTTATTGATGGTAGCCATTCTGACGTGTGAGGTGATCTAACATTGTGGTTTAATTTGCATCTCTCTGACAGTGAGTGACGTTGAGCATCTTTTCACATGGGTATCTGTATATCCTCTTTGGGGAAGTGTCTTTCAGGTCCTCTGCCCACTTTTAAATTGGATCATTTGGGTTTTTTGGTGTTAAGTTGAATGAGTTCTTTATAAATTTGGGGTATTAACCTCTTACTGATGTATCCTTGGTGAATATGTTCTCCCAATCAGTACACTGCCTTTTGATTTTGTTGATGGTTTCTTTTACAGAAACTTGTTAGTTTGATGTAGTGCTATTTATTTTTTCTTTTGTTTCTCTTGCCTAAAGAGATATATCAGAAAAAAAATACTACTGAGAGCAGTGCCTATGTGCCTTAAATGCCTAATTCTCATATGTTTAATTCTCTTAATGTTTAATTCTATGTTTTCTTCTAGGGGTTTTATGGTTTTAACTCTTATATTTAAGTCTCTAATCTATTTTGAGTTTATTCTTGTGTATGGTGTAAGGAGGTGGTCTAGTTTTACTTTTTTGCATGCATTTATTTAACTTCCCCAACATCATTTGTTGAACAGACTGTCTTTACCCTATTGTTTATTCTTGCCTTCTGTGTCAACATATTAAGTGACCATAAAGATGCGGGTTTATTTCTGGGCTCTCTGTTCTTATGCCAGTGTTATGATGTTTTGATTACTCTAGTCTGATAGTATATTAATACCAGGTAGCATGATGTCTCCAACTTTGTTCTTTCTCATAATTGCTGTAGCAATATGGAGTCATTTGTGGCTCCACATAAATTTTTGGATTGTTTATTCAGTTCTGTGAAATGCCTTTGGTATTTTGATAGGAATTGTGATGAATCTATAGATTACTTTGGGTACTGTGGACATTTTAACAAAGTTGATTCTTCCTATTCATGAACATGGTATGTGCTTCCATTTATTTGTTTCTTCTTCAGTTTCTCTCTCTAGTGTCTTAAAATTTTCTGAGTACAGGTCTTTAACTTCCTTGGTTAATTTATTCCTAGGTATTTTTTTAATGCAATTGTAAATGGGATTATTTTCTTAATTTCCCTTTCTAATAGTTCATTACAAAGTCAAAAAAGTACAACTGATTTCTTTATATTAATTTTGTATTCTGCTTCTGTACTGAATTAATTTATCAGTTCTAGTTGTCTTTTGGTGAAATCTTTAGAGATCTCTATATAATTGTATTATGTTGACAAATGATGACAGATTTACTTCTTTCTAATTCAAATGCCTTTTATTTATTTTTCTTGTCTGATTGTTGTGGCTAGGTCTTCCAATGTCATGTTGAATAAAACTGGCTAGGTCTTCCAATGTCATGTTGAATAAAACTACTTTGCTTTGACCCTAATATTAAATAAAAACACATTTTTTTTGCTTTTCCTCATTGATTATGATGTTACTGTGGGTTGTCATATAGGGCCTGTATCAGGTTCCCTCTGTTCCCACTTTGCTGAGAGTTTTTTACCATAAATGTGTGCTAGATTTGGTCAGAGGCTCTTTCTGCATCTATTGAAATAATCACATGATCTTTATCCTTTTCTTTGTTTCATGTTAATTGATTTGCGACTATTGAACCTACCTTGCAACCCAGGAATAAATACTACTTGATCATGATGTATGATGTTTTTAATGTATTGCTGAAATTGGTTTGCTAATTTTAATAGATTTTATTCATTTATTTTTAGATAGAGGGGAAGGGAAGGAGAAAGAGAGGGAGAGAAACATAGATGTGAGAGAGAAATATTGATCAGTTGCTCCTTGCACATGCCCCAACTGGGAACTGAACCCACGACCTAGATATGTGCCCCGATTGGAAATTGAGCCAGTGACCTTGTGGTTTGTGGGACAACCCCCAACCAACTGAGTCACACTGATCAGGACTGTAGGTGATATTTTTAATTCATTCAGCTACCCTATGCTTTTTTATTAGAGCATTTAATCCATTTATATTTAATGTGATTATTAATAAGTACATATTTATTGCCATTTTATTCTTCAAGACTATGTTCCTCTTTTTTTCTTTTATTTCTCCTTTCTCAAAAAGTCCCTTTAACATTTCTCATAATACCAGTTTGTTGGTGATGAACTTCTTTAGCTTTTTCTTCTCTGGAAGCTCTTTATTTCTCCTTCAGTTTTGAATGATACCCTTGTTGGGTAGAGTAGTCTTGGTTGTGTGTCCTTGCTTTTCATCACTTTGAATATTTCATGCCAATCTCTTGTGGCCTGAAAAGTTTCTGCTAAGAAATCAGCTGACGGTCTTTTAGAATCTCATTTGTGGGTTACTAACTTTTTTCTCTTGCTGCTTTTAAGATTCTCTTTGTCTTTAACCTTTGCCATTTTAATTATAATAATCTTGGTGTGGGCCTCTTTAGACTTATCTTGTTTGGGACTTTGTATACTCCCTAGACTTACATATCTATTTCCTTTACCAGTTTAAGAAAATTTCCAGTTATTATTTCTTTAAATATGTTCTCAAACCCATGCTCTCTTTTTTTATTCTGGTATCCATGTGGTGCAAATATTGTTGTGCCTGATATTGTCCCAGGAGGCCCTTAAACTACTTTTACTTTTTTAAATTATTTTTTTTGTTGGTCTGAATGAGTATTTTTTGTTATCTTGTCT